ACTAGACAGGGCCGCTCTGACTCTTTTACTCTGCTTGTTGGTATATGAGATGGAAATAGCTGTTCTTAGGAATTTTACACAGATTTTCTTACTGTAATGGTCAAAGAGTAATAGAAGTTCTGTTTTAAAAGCTAGATGGCCAAAGAGTAATAAAAGTGTCTGTTTTAAAAGCTAGACCCTCTTTTAATAGTTACCATCCATATAATTTATTCTTCAAACCATGGTGCTTTTGAGAGTGAAAAGGGGGGCTGTTAATAATTCTGATGGGACAATAGTCATAGATCAGGAGTGTCCCAAGCAAACTGGATATGTGGTAGCCCTGCATTTTAACACCAGCTTCTCTGTGCTGCCCGTAAGCTTTCTAGCTTCTAAGTAGAGCCAAAAATGTATCAAGGCATATATCCAATTTAGTGCTACTTACTTTTCAAAGAGCTGATCAAAATTCATGCAACAAAATGACACTACATTTGGTGAGATCTAAATGAAAGCTACAACTAGGCTACTATTTAAGGCTGGGTAAGGGGGAAATATAGCCAATATCCCCATAGTTATATATCAAAAGTTTTTTCTTTTAGCTTTTTAAGTTCAGAGGTACAAGTGCAGTAAAACTTCCATACTAAAGGAAATGGTTCCCAAGTCAACCAGGGATACTTGTGTCATATTTGGGAAACCAGGGACCTGGAGGTCTGAGAATTCCATGTTACCTTCAGAGGAAAAAACCTAACAGCAGATCTCTCACGTGTTGAAAATTCTCAGATTGTTTTGTGTAAATTTATTGTTGTGTTTTGCTACTTAATTGGTAAATTCGTAATTAGTAAATTATTCAACTAGTAAATTTGTTTTCATATGATAGATAATCATCTCTCACAAAACCAATTTAAATTCAAATGTATGAAGAGAAAATTCAAAATTATGAATAGAAACTTTCAAATCATAATATTCTTTAGTCTTTTTTTATTTTTTATTTTTTGCCTTCCTACTTTCCATTCCAATTCCTGCATCATTTAGATTATACATTCTTCATTGGTGTAGGAAAAAAAGGACCAGATTGGCTCAAATTTGTGATTTTGATTTTAAGTTGGAGTGCAGCACTTTTGCTAAATTGTAGTTCATATGAGCTCATAGTGGTATAGTGGACATTTTGATTCTGATCTATCTATCTCCACAACTCCCCTCCCCCTCCCAAACTGATGCATGTGTAATTTTATCATACCTATGACTTACCTTCAGGGGACCATGTTGGGGAGACTTAACGTTTAATGAACTATAACCGTGTGCCTTATTCACTCGTTCATCTTAATAATTTATATGTGGTGTTGTGTTATTGAAATAGTCATTAAGCTCTCTTCTGTCTGCATCATATTTACTTTACAAGTAGCCTTGTTAGATAGGCGTTCATCCTTTCTCTTCTATCCCTGCTATGTCTAAACCTACGAAGTCAAGTTCACGACTATGATATAGGGATTTCCTGTCTGACTCTCCAGTTTGCATTTGGGCTTGTTCTCTTATCAACTAAGAGGTCCTGACTTCCAGGACCTCTATATAAGGGTCCCTATATAAGGGTGCCAAGCCTGGTCAGCACAAGCCACCCAAAGGCAGTTGCCAGCTGTGCTTCATTGGCAGAGCCTTTATCACCATCCAGAGATCACTGAGCAAAGGAAAAACATGGAAACATGGTCAGGCGGCGTGTCTTAAAGCACCCAGTTGTTTGTCCAGTGGGCACCAAAGACCAGTGCTTGCGTTGTTTCCTGTTTTAGGCTTTCTCAGTTTTAACCCAGATAATCATCTATTCTCAGGATCTTGTGTATCTCGCTGTTAGAATGTACAGACTATCTCACCCCAGCCTACAGTGCTGACCTCACCTTGGCTGTAAGGCTCTTCCGTGGATGAATGTTCTCCCTAATGAGTCAAATACAGATCTCTAAAAACCTCAAACTCACAATTAAGGGACCTCTTTTATTAGTGATCAGAAAAAAAGTTTGCATGTGAAGTATCCTTTGTTCCTACTCTAAGAAAAATGAAAAGTGGTGATTCTACCAAAAGTAGTTTTCTGACTACAAGTATTTGTGTTCCTTTTGTTAAATTATCAACTCACTAATGTGCAATGATAATGCTTCTCTTTTGATGTGTGAAGGCCTCATATTATGTGTGCTAATTTAATAGGATATGTAATATAGACATAATTAATAGGATTGATGATTAATTCTGAAAAGTGAACAGCTTTGTCTAGTTTCTTATAATACCCATCATTAGGGAATTCATTCTTCTGCTAGAAAGAAACTAAGTAGTAATTACCCATTCATTTTAATGGAACATCTTCTGATTCCCTAATTGTTTTGTACTTTGGCTTTCTATGTAAATACATTCAAACTTAGATTTTATTCTCATAAGCTGACTATAATGAAGGCTTAAAGGATGAAGAACAAGAATCAAAAGTTGACAAGTATGAATCAGGTGGAGATAAAAGGTCTGAGGGAATTCTAATGGGTGAAAAGACATTTGATATGTGGTTCCTTATAAACAGCAGATGCCTCTGTTAGGACATGCTTAGCCATGCAAGAGTGTACTGGTTTCTTTTTTTTTTTGAGATGGAGTCTCGCTCTGTTGCCCAGGCTGGAGTGCATGGCCGGATCTCAGCTCACTGCCCCGGGTTCACGCCATTCTCCCTGGGCTCAGCCATCCCGAGTAGACTGGGCATCACAGGGCGCCTGCCTCCTCGCCCGGCTAGTTTTTTGTATTTTTTAGTAGAGACGGGGTTTCACCGGTGTAGGCCGGATGGTCTCGATCTCCTGACCTTGTGATCCGCCCGTCCTCCCAAAGTGCTGGGATTACAGACTTGAGCCTCCGCGCCCGGCAAGTGTACTGGTTTCTAAAGCATCCCGTGGCCATTTCAGTGATTACATGTTATATGCCTTTCTCAAACCTTGCTAGAGCAAAAATTATTTCAGTGCTTCAATGAAGTCTTTATTTCATGACTTCAAGGAGGATAGCAGACAAGTACATTAGCAGCCCTTACACCACACCACTCATGTGCCTGTGGGAATATTCATATCCCCATATGAGCCCTGACCACATCACCCTTGCTCTGATGTTCATGTAGGTGATGCTTCTGCCCATACTGAGTACCAGACTCTGGCAGCTTCTGGAGGGGGAGCCATGAGTCTTTCAGTAGAACCTCCCTGTGTCCAGGGGTCAGTCATTCCTGGTCAGATATTACAAAGAAAGAGTACGACTTTGATGATAAAGTCTATCTTAAGTTAATTTCCAGGATTTTCAGGCCCACTTCACTGCTGCATCATACCTGTTGGCTTTGGAAATCAAGATGCTCAGGTATGTCCCCCAGTTAGCCCACTCTAGGTGATCAGGACTGATGTTGAATAAATAGCTCATGTGTTGGCCAAGTCTTAAGTGTTAGTAGGTAGAACATTGTTTTGAAAATTATGACTTGGCAAGTATTTGTTTGTAACTGTGTTATTTTAGAAGATATTTCAAGGTCAGATTTTTAAAGTCATTTGTTGGCTAGAAATTATTAGAAATTATTGAGTCAGTGTTTCTTTCTCACTTCAGAAATTTGGGATGATAGTTTGTGTTTGTTATATATAATATAAATATATATTTACTTATTTGTACATTATGTAAAATAAATACAAGTATATATGTGGCTCATAACTTCCATGTGAACTAAGTTGAAATGTTCTGATTACATGCCTTCTAATCATCTAGTATCATTGAAGTGTTTTTAAGTGTCATGTATCTTTAAGGATCTGTGAAAATGAGTTCTATTATAGGTAGATGGTACACGAAAAATTTCTAACAGGTTGTATTAATACCTCTGTATGATTAGAAGTTGTCTATTCTTATATTTATGTATTTACTAATATTTGAAGTGGGACTTTCACATGGAGCTGGCCTAGCTTGTGTTGTACCTGTATTTCTTCTCAATTGGCTGTAATACTGTCACTGTATAGTACTCTTCTCCATAGTGATCTTCAACTAGCAAATGATTAAATAATCTTTAACCTTAGTAGGGAAATGTCTATACCTTATATCAAGTCAATCTATTATACATTACTCCTTTTGCTTAGATTCTGTTTGTTTAAACGTAACTCTGCTAAACTGGTATCTTAAGAGATATATAACATCTCTTTGGAACATCTGTTGATCATTGTGTATTTAATTCAGCCCAAGAGTCAAATATAGTAAATATTTAATTCAGGCATCTTTAAGCTATACAACCCATGAAACTTAATGTTATGCATTTTGAAACCATAATGATACAATACTGCCCACCTTCATTGGAACATTTTTCACTGCTGCTTCTCCAGTGTATTTTCTTAAAATTAAAAGCTTCTGCACATTGGAAAGAGAACTTCCCTTGGAACCAGAGCATTATAATCACAGCTCTGTCACATTCTAGCTTTATGTCTTGGTGATCTGATGTAACCCTAGTTCAGTTTCCTCATCTATAAGATGGCAGTTATAATATTGTCCTGTGCTTCACAAAAGTGCCAAGAAAATTAAATGACATAACGTCCATGTGCAAAAATACTTTATAAACAGTAAACACAATTTAAGTGTAGATAGATTCAGTAGAATTGCTGCTCTTGTAACACAGATTGCAGCTGATCTGAGTAACGTTATCAAATCAATTCTAGTATCTCACTGTTAAATGTAGCAGCTGGCTTTCTACAAGAGAAATGCCTGGATATAACATCTCAGTGATGAGCTTTTGAAGGCCAAGAATGTCTTAGATAATGCTTCGGCAGTGTACCTCATCCTGCCTACTCTCATCTTAAAAAGCCCATGCCCCTTTGGTCACTCCATTGCAACCCAGGTAGAAACAGTGTGCTTTCTGTAGCTCAGCTGTGTTGTGACAGTGCCTTGCCCACAAACCGCACTGTTCTTTCATACCTCTAGACATTATCAGAAGTGAGAAAATAGGGCTCATTTATTTTTGTTTATGTTGAGAGGCTAGTCCCATTTGAAGAGTCTGAACTTACTGTGCATGATCCACTGTGATTCCTGGGAACAGAGTACATGGCATTGATCATCAGGGCACACCCTCATAGGGAGGAGACGTATACCTCTTGCACATTCTTCAGAGCCGTCAGTTGCCGTGGCCCTACACGGAGGCCCAGGTTGTCACAGTTAGTGCTAAAGAGATTGAAACGAAAGATGAGAGGTGTGATTTAAAAGAAGGGGAAACAGGATGATTGTCTGTGTATTGTTTAGAGAGTGTAAGAATGAAAACATTCTGGTTGTCGTGCACCACGCTAACTTTGGAACTGGTCTAAAGTTATCACAACAAAAATAAGCAATGTTTGATTTCGGTTTGTTTGGGTCTCACCCTATGCCCTGGGAAGCAACTGATCTTGCTTCTTCCGCAAGCAGCTTCCTCTTCTCACTTCGGTATCCTTTCCAGGCCTCCGGCTGTGTAAACAGAAATTCAAGTTGTTCTGGTTAACTTAGGGAAAACCCCTAAGCCGCGTAGTCTTTAGGTGTGCTCCAGCCCCACATTCTGAATTTAAAGAGCTCTGCTACACGGAAGGGAGGCTGCACTGCTATTTCCAGAGAGATCCAACAGCTTCTGCCTTTCTCTTGTTTCGGTCCAGGAGGCCAAACCTGATTTTGTACCCTGTAGTGGTCAAGGATATGGGGGAAGACCCCTATCACAGAGGGCCCACCCTCTGGAGGCTGCTGGCAGAGTCTTCTTAACAGGGCTTGGACTGTGACCAGATAAAACATCTTTCGTAGGTGCAGAAACTGGCCAGTCTGGAAGGTCCAATGGCTTCTACGTTAAGGTTTTCTTAACAAGATGGTATACCCCAACTTTTACATAGATTGCTTCTTTTAAGCCCTAAAAGAAGTTGTATTTCTTCCTCCGTATTTGGGCCACCTTGATCTTTAGTTGTTTCTGCCTGCCTTTTAAAATGACATTTTTACATATCCAAAATGATATCTGTGAATAATGTCCAGGTACCTGTAGACACATCTTGGACTGTAGGCCCTACTATGACATGAGACCACATTTAAAGTTGAAAATAAAATGTTTCCTTCAACTACTATCCATGAACTGCTTAATCAACCCATAACAAATGCTAACACAAGGGGTGGTGAGCCCTATTACTGGAAACTTGTGTCCTCTTTGCATGCACTGGTTCTCAGCCAAAAGTGACTGTGTTTACTAATTTGGTGAGATTTCTTTTTGTAGAACTAGGACTTAGAAGCCTGAGCAATCACCTCTTTCTTTGTAGTATGTTGAAGAAATCTGATAGGCTCTTTTAACCTTTATAAATACACTTGCACTTCCTATCCTAAGAAATAAATAAAATAAAACAAAAATGGAATTCTAAGAAAAGCCTTAAAGCTGTGGCCAAATCTGCTTTCATAGCAGTTAAGGTTGAGGCAGTATGGAGAGGTAGGAGTCAGCTGACATGACAGCATTTACCTAATTTTTTTTTTTTAAACAAAGATGGATTAAGATCAGATTTTTTTATTGGAAGCTAAAAGTTATAAAGTAAATACTCAAAGATTTAATTAAATCAGTAAGCATGTGTTGCATTTTTAACCAGAATTCTTTAATCCTTTCCTGATAGAATTACTATGTATTAGATCTCTGCCTCACTGAAATTGTCTAGGCCCCCTGCATCTGTTTTTAGCAAGACTTCAGTTGAGTTCCATCTTTTCATTCTTGTACAGTCTGTAAAGGCCTGGTGAGTCAACGTATTGAAAATCAGTCATCATCTTCTGTCTAGGAGTTCTTAGTGGCCTGTACATTATTTTCTCAGATTCCTGCATCATTACAATTTTCATGTGTTTTAAGTCTCTTCTTTATGCTTTTTAAAAAAACAAGTGAAGCCAGTTTCTCAAACAGGAGGTGTTCACATTCCATTTATTCTCCAAGTGTGGAGTTGGTGCCCAGCATGTGACTGACAATACAGAAGTGAAAAGCACATGACAAGCCAGGGATTTCAGGGTCTTGTTAGAAAGTGAAATGGAAGTGGTATTTTATTCCTTTGTGGCTTAGAGAGGGCTGTAATGCATTGTTACAGGTATAAACTAACATTTTAGAAGTACTTCCCCTATTCTTGCTCAGGTCAGCTATGTCATTGGTAGTACGTGGCTGCCTTTTCTGCCACTCCCTTTTCTAAATCTTATGTTACCCATAGTATACATGGCCCCCTTTGTATGCCTGCCTAAATGACTTCACTAAAGTTCTCTGTAAATCCCTCAAACCTCAAACTTAAGAACCCAAACTGAAATCTCTTAGCAGGACCAGCTGTCTGTGCGTCTTTTCCAGACACTGGGCTCATCCATTTGGATATGGACTCCCACAAAGCTGACAAGACCCTGTGGGTGCAGAAGCATCTCCTGAGGACCAAGGCTTTGAATGCCTTGTTCACGTCGGCATCCCCAACACTTAGGGTGACACTCAGAGGGTCTTCATCTCAATGTGTGGAAAGAACAAATGCCCCCGTTATAGTCCTGTGTTGGCTTGTTTTGCAGTGAGACTTATTCTGAGATTAAGAGCTGCATTTAGCTTCTTGGCCACCAGGATCCCAGAGTAAATTACTTTTCAGGACTCTAAATAGTACGCAGGAGATTTGAAAGAACTGATGCAATTTCTAAAGCAGCCTGACTTCCTCCCAGGAAGTTACTCCCACACCAAGACTCTGACTTCATGACCACCAGATTTAGAAATTGAAGTATCTATGTAAGAAGTTGCCTCCTAGGCAGAAATCAAGAAATCCAGCTATAACATAGGTTAGAGTCCATTTTGGTTTTTATATCCTTCCACAGAGGAAAGAGGGGGAGGGGGAAGAATCCGGAGATGCTTTTTTTTTTTTTCTTCTTCTTCTTCCAGAGGCTCATGTATATCCCACATCATGGTGAGTTTCAGAGCAAGGGCTGTGCCTCCACCTTGGTGACTCCTGGAACACTAAATTGGATCTTTGCAGAGGAAGAAAATAACATAGTTCTAGATTTTCCATAGCTGTTCATTAGTTTTATGGCATAATTAAAATAGCTCAAGAGTAAAACAAAGTCCAGCTTTAACAGCCTGTTAAGGCTTCTTTTCTTATCTTGAAAAGAGGTAAGATAATGAAGTTTTAAACAGTTGAAGAAGTTAACTGGAAAGGAATTAACATTTCAAGGCCATGCCGCTTCTTCCTCCCCTTGTGATACCAACCAGAATTGAGGGAAAATAGGCAGCGGGGAACCCACACTGAATTTTCCAGACTCTACCGCTGAAAGACATTGCATATTTTTATTGTAATCATATGTGATGCAAGATAATGTTGCTCATATTTGAGTCCCAAAAGAAAAGATGTTTGTCTGAGCATCCCATGAGGTAAGCAACCCCATGAAGGACCCGCTGCAGCCAGCGAAGGGCTCCAGGTCCCTGACATAGTTGATGGCAGAAGTAAATCTTTATTCTCTTATAGTGACTTTGTTTCTGAAAGAGGCCAAAAGTCATTTCAAGCTGAATCTGACAGATAAGATAGAGGCCAGAGCTGAGGAAAATAAGTAGCAAAGCTGATCTAAACCAAGGTGTGACTGTGAAATAGTAACCATCTTCTTTGCTCGTTTCATAATGGGCCCTGGATGCCATGGCAAGAGGAAAATTCCAAAGCTGTGTGCAGCAGCGGCAGTACCATTGGAACACGTTTACAGCCTACCAGGGCTCCTTAGAAGGGGGTCATGTTTATTTGGATATATAACCCCTGATTTGTTTGTTTTAAAAATAAACTTTATTATGTTAGTGTCGTACCTCATGTTTTCCTTGGAACATTCTCCTCTAATCCTCTTTGAGAGAGTGGGAGGGAGAGATTGTGAGGGGAGAGAGAAGTGTTCAACAGAGATTTCCTAAGGAGGACCAGGAATCCTGAATTACCTAAATAACCCACTTCATTATCTCCATTTCTTGATGGCACTTGGTATCTTTGAAGACAAAGATCAATTCGAGTCCCCGTTTTCAAGAGTCAGTGAGCAGTAACAGCTTGTTTGTGTGGCACTGATTGATCCTTGTCCGGGCAAGTGGCCTTTCCACGGGTTATCCAGCTTGGCACCTGAAGACAGAAGTGCTGGTGGACTGTGGAGCCAGACCCGCTGTGGCTCCCCTCCTCGCCCTGCTGCTTCCTAGCTGTGCATCTTGGACAAGTGACTTAATCTTGTGCCTCATTTTTCTGTGGAATTGAAACAATACCCTGTCCCACTGGGCAATGGAGATCAAATGGCATTGACATAGGTAACATGCTTAGCACAGGGCCTGGCACGTAGTGGGCATTCAGTAAGTGGAAGTTACGATTGTTATTAGGTATCAAAGAACAAAACTTAATTGTCAGAATAAGCAAACCAGTTGGAGTAATAAATGTAGCCTTTAGAGTTAAATGGCACAACCCTGATAGCCAAACATAAACTGTTTTGGTTATTTTTAGTTGGATGTTCCCAGTCTTTTATTTCTACATCCCTCTTCAGGCTGAGTGCTTAAAATACATTTATATGTAGTCTCAATTAGATTATGCTGTTTCCCCCAAAAGACTACAGTGACTCTTAATTTAATTTATAGAAACTTGAATTGCATGGAATAGCCACCACGTCTCGCTTTAAATCTGGTAGCTTCCACAACTTCCCTATGGTGTTTTCGCAAATGGGTCTCTACGTGTCATTGAAGGAGACAGTGTATCTAGGAAAAGAAATGAGGATACTGAGCAAGGTGTGGTGGCTCGTGCCTGTAATTTCAGCACTTTGGGAGACTAAGGCAGGTAGATGGCTTGAGGCCAGGAGTTCAAGACCAGCCTGGGCAACACAGTGAGACTCCATCTCCACAAAAAAAAAAAAAAACCCTAAAAATTATCCAGGCATAGTGGTGCATACCAGTAGTCCTAACTACTCAGGAGGCTAAAGCAGGAGGATCACTTGAGCCCAGAAGTTCAAAGAGCTATGATTGCACCACTACACTCCAGCCTGGGCAACAGAGTGAGACCCTGTCTCTTGAGAAAAAGAAAAAAGTTACTGGTTTTCCCATTGCCTCCAAGGCATTCAGAGTGATTGTTCTTTCTCATATATCATTTTATAAATATTCTTTTAGACAGTGATCTCATACAGTTACTGAATGAGTATTTACATAAACTCTGTATTATGCTGTAGCTCAGCATTTGATCTTTGATATTTCTTCTGTGGTTTTGATACATCAATTGAAATTATTCTACATAGGTCAGTATCATTCGGAAAACACCACACTTCATGGCCAGGTGCTTTAGGTCCAGGCTCAGTCTAAGTTCTTCCCATCATTATTCTCATGTGTGTGTGGGGAGAGGAAGGGAAGGAAGGAAAGAAGGAACAAAGGAGAGAGGGAAGGAGGGAAGGAAGGGGCGAGGGGGAAGGAAGGAAGACAGGAGGGAAGGGAGGGAGGGAGGGAGGGTGAAAAG